GGGGGACTACGCCCCGCGGTAGGCCGTCGGCTACCGGTCCCCCGAGTCCTCGACGCCCGGGCTCGTGGGCTCGCTCTGCGACATATGGTCGCTCGGGTGCACGCTGCTCGAGTTCATCACGTGGTGCCTCCTGTGTTGGGCGAGTGTGGTGGAATTCGAGAGGCAGAGGCTGTCGCCAGATCCATCGACAGCCTCCAGCTCCCGCACGGGTCCGCGCTTGACATCACCCATCTTTTTCGAAAGGGACGAGCACGGCCGACACCAGCTCAAGGAGTCTGTTATGGGGGTCAGTACCCGCGGCATGGCGTATTATTGCGCTAAAGGAAACCTGAACCTTTTTCAGAATATCCCACCAGGACTAACGTGTATTTGTCGACATTGTAGCAAATCAGTGATATCCGCATGCACCCCGGATGCACTTTGAGCATCTGCGATTTGCTAGACGTGATCACGACACGCATGATAGTCGTCGACCAACACAAACGATCTGGGGCGCGAGAGGTCATGATCAAGGTGGAGGAAATATTTGAGCGTTGTCAGCAGTCCCAAGAATATGCGACCGAGCCAGCCAAGACGCTTCAAGGCGGTGCAGCCAGAGTTCGACAATCGGAGCAATGCATCATGGCAGGCTAGACAAAGAATCTAGAGACACTACTGGGACGTTGACGCGGTGGGGAATCCACCGCGAGCGCGGGGCTCACTGCCGACAGTTCGGCCATTGTAACTGTGTAATTAGTAATCAAATCGCCGCCGAAAGTGACCGGACCCTCCCGAGTTCAAGGACTGCTCCAGCGTGAAGGATTCACAGCTCATAAGATCCTGTATAAAGCCAGGTTGAATCCCAGTTTTAACGCGCGCCTGTGTTGTAGACTTCATCCCAAATCCGTCACGTCCGAATCCCGCAGTCGCGCGTCTCAACCATGGCCAACATCTCCATCAAAGTCATCTCAGACAACGTCTGCCCTTTTGTAAGCACGCCAAGCCGGGAAGCAAGTTTACCACCTGCACCCAACAACACTGCACTAACACTAACCCCCCCCCNCCCCNCNCNCNCNCACACGACGACGACGACGACGAC